TCCTCCTCCTCCTCGGGCTGTGAGCGCCCCAAGCCCCCAGACACGGAGAGACAGGAGCAGAGAGCCCGGGTGCTGGGTGAGGGGCTCTTTCTCCATTGCTCTGCTCGGTGACTGTGCTTTGGCTCAGTCAGTTCTGATTGCAGTGACTCTGTACGAGTTTGATCACACATATCTGTCAACCTCTATGTCTAGATTTGATTTTACTGTCGTACATTATCTGCAATAATAGGGATGTCGTCCCAATATGGCAAGTATGGTGCCGAGGTTCAGGGAGCAGTGAGTGGCATGTGTTGTACAGGTTTTTAGACATGAGTTCCACCCATTTCTTAAAAAGGACCTCTTCAGCTGAGGGTGTGACCAGGGTATGTTTGGGGGATTGACTGTCGGGAAGGTGATTGAAGTCTGTCTCTAGTCTGCTCAAGCCCGCTACATCACTATATCCACTGGGCATAGCTGACGTATACTTACTGGTGCTGCGGGTTCAAATCTCTTTCAGTAGAGAAATGCAGATACTTTAGCAGGCCTTTATGAAATTAGACACACAAAACAGGTCAAAAACGACCTGCCCCTCCAACCCCTTTTAGCAGTTAATAGCTAACCCAAGACCTTGTCAAACTGTTTCTTGAAAGAAGTCAAGGTATCTGCTTCAACAACGAGGCTGGGCAGCGTGTTCCACACTCCCGCCACCCTGTGTGTAAAGCAGTGCCTCCTGCCCTGACTGGACAGAGCAGAGACTCACAGTGGGAATCCCCTCTGTTCCAGCCCGTCTGCAGGCGGTGTTGGACCACGTACTCCAGACTGCTGTTACGGAGGTGAGGAAGATTGTAGAAAACAGCTTCGACGACCTGCTGAGCGAACTGGCAGCCAAGGAGAAAGAGAACAGGAGCCTGCAGCTGAGGCTCCAGCTGTCCACAGAGGGGGCGGCGGCTGGGCCAGAGGACTCGTTACCAACTGCAGGCAGCCCCAGCTCTCCCAGCACTCCTAGTGCAGCTGCCCACTGTCAGAAGGCCGAGACACAGCAGGAGCCGCTGGGCTGTGCTGACCGGGCAGAGAGCGAGGGCACACAGAGAGGGCCCAGTCTGGAAGCAGCTGGTAACTGTTCTCTTAATTCACATGATTGATGTAGGGAATTTGGTCCCAGTGCACAGCAGTCTGATCCACTCCAGGACTTACATTGTTATTAGACAGGCTCCCAGTGCACAGCAGCCTGATCCACTCCAGATCTTACAGTGTTACTAGACAGGCTCCCAGTGCACAGCAGTCTGATCCACTCCAGATCTTACATTGCTATTAGACAGGCTCCCAGTGCACAGCAGCCTGATCCACTCCAGATCTTACAGTGTTACTAGACAGGCTCCCAGTGCACAGCAGTCTGATCCACTCCAGATCTTACAGTGTTACTAAACAGGCTCTCAGTGCACAGCAGCCTGATCCACTCCAGATCTTATAGTGTTACTAGACAGGCT